TGGGTTTGGGGTCATAGGGAGGGGCTCACCCTGCACTTCTCCTCCCCGGGGCGGGTTTGGGGTCACAGGGACAAGGGCTCACCCCGCAGACCCCCCGGGGTGGGTTGGGGTCATAGGGAAGGGCTCACCCGCACTTCTCGTCACTGGGAGGGTCTCACCCCATCTACCCCCCCCAGGTGGGTTTGGGGTCACTGAGAGGGTCTCACCCTGCAGACCCCTTGGGGTGGGTTTGGGGTCATGGGGAGGGGCTCACCCTGCAGACCCCCCTCGGGTGGGTTTGGGGTCATAGGGAGGGGCTCAGCCCGCACTTCTCCTCCCCAGGGTGGGTTTGGGGTCACAGGGACAAGGGCTCACCCCGCAGACCCCCCCGGGGTGGGTTTGGGGTCATGGGGAGAGGTTCACCCCGCAGACCCCCCTGGGTGGGTTTGGGGTTTGGGGTCACGGGAGGGGCTCACCCCACACTTCTCCTCCCCGGAGATGGTGACCCGCTGGAATTCCCGCTCCAGCAGTGCCTCGCGCTCCTTGGGGACGTGATCCAGCAGGTCAGAGCCCTGCTCCTGGAACAGCCTGCGGGGACAGGGACACTGATGGCTCTGGCCCCAGCCCACAGCCAGGGACAGCTCTGGCCCCATCCCAGTGCCCAGTGACACATCTGTCCCCACCCCAGCATCCCCACACCCAGTGACACATGTGTCCCCATCCCATGTCCCCATGTCCAGTGCCACATCTGTCCCCATCCCAGTGTTCAGTGACAGGTTTGTCCCCACCCCAGTGTCCAGTGACACAACTGTCCCCATCCCATGTCCAGTGATAGGTCCATCCCCATCCCAGTGCTCCCAGTATCCAGTGACAGGGTCTGTCTCCATTCTGATGTCACTGTGACCAGTGCCACATCTGTCCCCATCCCCATGTCCAGTGACACAACTGTCCCCATTCCAGTGTCCAGTGACAGGTTTGTCCCCATCCCATGTCCAGGGAGAGGTCTGTCCCCATCCCAGTGCTCCCAGTATCCAGTGACAGGGTCTGTCCCCATTCTGATGTCACTGTGTCCAGTGACACAACTGTCCCCATCCCAGTGCTCCCACTGTCCAGTGACAGGGTCTGACCCCACCCTGATGTCCCCACGTCCAGTGACAGGTTTGTCCCCATCCCATGCCCAGTGACACATGTGTCCCCATCCCATGGCCACATATCCAGTCACACGTGTCCCAATCCTGATGTCCCCATGTCCAGTGCCACATCTGTCCCTGCCCTGTGTCCCCCATGTCCAGTGCCACATCTGTCCCCACCCCATGTCCCCGTGTCCCCCCCCCAGCCCCGCCGAGCACAACGAGCAGTGGGGGGGGGGGACAGAGGACGAACCAACTCGTGACAGACGCGACCCCAAAGCGGAGACAGGAGGGAGGGGACACACAGCTGGGCCCGGGGGGGGGACAGGCCAGTGTGGGGGGCTGGGGCCACCCCAGCTCCCCCCAAGCCCTCCCTGGGGTGGGGGTCCCTCGGTGCCAGCAAGGGGGGGGGGGGACCCTCGGGCTCTGGGCGGGGGGGCGGGGCAGGGGCGGGGCCGGGGGTTCCCCAGAGCCCCCCGTGTCCCCGGGGGTGTCCCCAGGGTGTCCCCGGGGTGTCCCCAGGGGTGTCCCCGGGCCGCACACTCACTGTAGGTCGGCGGCACTGTCAATTTTCAGGAAGTCCTGTTTGGCTCTGAGCAAAATGTCGGGCTCAAGTCTGGCGGGGGGGGAGGGGGGGGGGGGGGGGGGGGGCAGAGAGGGGGGGGGGGGGCCGGGGAGAGAAAACACCCCGTTAATGCCACAAACCCCCCGAGAGCACAGACGGAACCCGGTCAGGAGCTACCGGGGAGGGAGGGGACACCAGCGACACACCCACGGGGAGGGGACACAGCGCGGAGCACCCACCCCCGGGGGGACATCACATCACACACATCCCCCCGGGGGACATCACACACCCCCCGCGGGGACATCACATCACACAACCCCGGGGGGACATCACATCACACCCCCCCGGGGCCGGGACCCCCCTTCCCGCTCACTTGACGTCCTGGCTGATCTGGCGCTCCAGGCGCTGCCGCCGCTCCTCCAGCTGCTCGATCGGGCTCTCCTCGGGGAACTCGTACGGCGCCGTGCGCATCTCGTTCTCTGCCAGCGAGCGGCAGAACAGCTCCTGGGGACAGCACTGTCACCAGGGGGACACAACAGGGACAGCAGAGCCCCTGGGGACAGCACTGTCACCAAGGAGACAGGGACAGCAGAGCCCCTGGGGACAGCACTGTCACCAAGGGGCAGGGACAGGGACACCAGGGACAGAACAGCTCCTGGGGACAGCACTGTCACCAAGGGGGACAGGGACAGCCCTACCATAGACAGAACAGCTCCTGGGGACAGCACTGTCACCAAGGGGCAGGGACAGGGACACCAGGGCCACCACAGCCCCTGGGGACAGGGACATCAAAGCTCCTGGGGACTGCACTGTCACCAAGGGGGACAGGGACAGCCCTACCACAGACAGAACAGCTCCTGGGGACACCAATGTCACCAAGGGGCTCGGACAGCCCGGCCAGGGCCACTGCCAGGGACAGAACAGCTCCTGGGGACAGCACTGTCACCAGGGGGACAGGGACAGGGCCACCAGAGCTCCTGAGGACAGCAATGTCACCAGGGGGACAGGGACAGCCCTGCCAAGGCCAGCATGGCTCCAGGGGACAGCCCTGCCACCAGCTGTCACTGCCATCCCTGCCATGAGCTGTGCCAGTGCCACCACAGTGCCTGGGGACACCCCTGCCATGAGCTGTGCCCGGTCTCAAGCTGTGCCATGAGCTGTGCCCGCTCTCAGCCCTGCCATGAGCTGAGCTGTGCCCAGTCTCAGCCCTGCCATGAGCTGTGCCAGGTCTCAGCCTTGCCAGGCCCGTCCCTGCCATGAGCTGTGCCCAGTCTCAGCCCTGCCATGAGCTGTGCCCGGTCTCAGCCTTGCCAGGCCTGTCCCT